CTCAGTCGCTATTACTTATGCTCCCCGACGCCCGTAAGTACCCCCCGTGCTTACATGTCCCGCAAATATGCCGGGCTTGACCACTGTGAAGTCATTCATCTTCAGTATCTCCAAAGCTTTCAGAGCTATGGTCGCGCGACTTTCTCTGTCCACATCGCATTGAAAGGCCTCCCCTGACCGTCGGGGAAGAGGTTCTTCCTGCTCGACATTCGCATTCCCAAAAGCCTGGCCGAGGCTGGTTGCGACAAGGAGAAATACCAGCGCATCTGCTAGAGAATGCATGGTGATGGCAGATTTTCCCCCTGACGCCTTTGTTGTTCCACTGTGGAGGTAGCATGAGCCGCGATTTGAGGTGCAGTCAAGCGGCCAGATTGCACGAATCACAGGAAATCAGGGGATTGATCGTCAGTGAACCACTCAGCAACGATATGCACATCAGGCCTCTCTACATGGCTCGGACATTCCCTACCAATAAACAAGAAGCTCAACACACGTGTGCCTTGAAACGCGTATTGCGCGTAAGACCTTAAGCGAGGCACTGACGTGTCTTGAGGACGTCATTTAAACATATGGGCCAGGGGCAAGCCTGAGGCTGCGAATTGATTCCTTACGTCATTACATCCTGTCGCTCCTTTTTTGAAAGTATAAATCTTTCACAATATTTCTTGGTGTGTCTTGTCGGGAAAATTACTTTCTTTTTCAACCATTTTTTTCCCTGCTCTCTTTTTCTCCGGTAAGAAAGCCCTCAGAAGACCTTGGCAATGGTGAACATTCTGTTCAGTTCCGTCCGTAACAAATATCTACAGGCAGGAAATCTCCTATATAACCTTTTTTCCTGTCGTGGAGATTGCCTTTTAGCCACGTTCATCCACCAAGCTACACATAGTCCTCTCGCTCCTCATCCTCAAGCACCATCTCGTCCACCGTTCCCTTCAACTGATCCTTTTTCTCCTGGACACACAGTTCCATGCTCGGGAAAACATCTTCAAAAGCCTCCATGAGCTCGTAGCGCACTTGAGCTGTCGTTAGCTCGGCTGCGACATGAGGTGAGAGGAGGGTTTTGAGGCACCTGTGTGGGATGCGAGAAGCAAAGGGAGCTTGGACTCGACGCTTCAAAGCAAAGGCAACTTATACTCGACGTTTGAAAGCTGAGGGGAAGCACAGACTCGCCTCGTCGCTCCACTGTGAAGGACAATTCCACAAGATGCCCGGCACATTTTCTGCTGTGTACTTACCCGACTCTACGGTCTCTCACGCCACACGGCACAATCGACTCGAAAGCCCGTAGGTCTGGGTCTACATTCAGGGCTAGGCCGTGGCAGGTCACCCACCGGCTCGCGGAGACGCCGATCGCGGCCACCTTCGTCAGCTCCTCCCCCTCCGGGCCCTGCTCTTTCACCCACACGCCTGTGTGTTTCTCGTCCCGCTGTCCCTCCACCCCGTGTAAGGCGAGCACCCGAAGCACCACCTCTTCTAGGCCCCTGACGTACCACCGCAAATCCTTCTTGTGGTGCGTCAGGTCCACCACTGGGTAGATCACTATCTGGCCGGGACCATGCCAAGTTACTTGTCCGCCTCGGTCCGTTTTGAAGACCTGAGGTAAAAAATGAAACATCGCTAGTCGGCTCAGACGCCTTTATCATGCAATGCATGGAAGTTGCACGCCTCTGTCTGTGTACTCCTCGTTCACGACGCACCTCAAATCCCCGCCCGCCCTGGCCAGTACCCTCCACCAGAGGAAATTTAACATCCCCGGGCTTGGCAGAGCGGCCTAATGTGTAGACAGGCGAGTGCTCCAGGACCAACATGGCGTCAAAGCCAGATCTACAAAGAAATAGGAAGTGATGAGCGAGAGGGCAATCCACATCCTCGAATAAGGGCATTTTGGGACTCACTGTTCCTCCTTCTGCCAGACAATGCGTTGTGCCACCAATTTCTGCTGCAGTTGCCAAGCCAAGGAGTAAGGAACAAGACCTAGATGTCAAGGAGTAAGGGACAAGACCTGAAGGTAAATTTGTAAAAATGTGACGGAAGAGAGCAACCGCATTCAACGTCAACTTGACATGCTTACCTTGGATGTTCAGGGTAGCGACGCGTCGACGCAGTCCAGCTCTCATCGTCCCCACTAAAGTCCCTGCTATCATGGCTGGCTAGGTGCCGCCTACCCTACACTGTGTTGCGTGTCGGGATAAACCGATCAAACAATGGGAAACTCGATGCTGCTAAGAGAAAAGCTTGCATTCAGTCCTGCTCGGGCTCGAGGCGCGAAGAGAATCATCAGACTGGATCCATAGAAGTTGTGACAGACCTTGACGGAGGTCCATAATACTTCTTTTGTGAATTTTTCGAAACAAAAGGACCTCTGAATATTCAATTCGCCAGACCACTAAGTCTTCCTCGTAGGATCCAACCCCACCTGCGGAGGCGTGCTCGACCTCCCGGCGGGCAGACTCGACTCGGAGGAGGAAGCTCGCACTGCAACTACCTCTTGATGTCGACTTATTCGCACGCCTTAATACCTACATACAGGTAACGAGCCATGCCACGGCATCTGATCCTCAGCATATTTTTAGCTGCCGTTGCGTCTACCGCGACAACACATGCCTTTTTGGCGCGCGGGCGGTGCAAGCCTCCGGGCCAAGGCCGTAGAGGGCGGATCGAGGCTGCGGGAGTATCTCATGGCATTGGGGCGGGCAAGCTTGTCTGCGGGCGCACTCGTATCACTCTGCAAAGAAGAGGTGGAATCACAATGCAGTTGAAGCCCTCCACCGCTCCACCGTTCACAACGAAGGAGGAGCAAGAGAAGGACAAGGGCATTAAGGTGCGAGATGACCAGACATCCCCCGTTTTCCGTCATGCTTCCACTTCCTCACGGCCCCACTCGTGAGCTCGCGAGATGCTTCGTCGGCGCTAATCTGACCACACTGACCATTTTACGGACCGCATCCCTCCAGGTATCCCCCTCTGCCTGGAAATGGCCTAAGTCCTGGCCCTACAACGACGACTACTTTTCTCGCAGACAGGAGGACAGCGTCCCGCTCAATGGGACTCCAAATCTCTCCCCCATCTACGATAACAAGGCAGCAAATGCCTTGGCCGAGCACTACCTGCGCTTCCTTCCCCCCTCCGGGTCTCTTCTTGAAATCGGCGCCTCGGCGCACTCTTATCTCCCTCCCTCCCTCTCCCCCTCCCGCTTCGTCGGTGTGGGCGTCAACGAGGAGGAAATGGCGGCCAATCCTGCCTTGACGGACCGGATCGTCCAAGACTTGAACGCAGACTTCTCTCTCCCGGCGTCTGCCGTCCCTCCGGACAGCTTCGACGCCGTGCTCATCGCCAACACGATGGAGTTTCTGGTCAAGCCCCGGGAGGTGCTGAGGGAGGCTTGGCAGGCCCTCAAACCGGGGGGACACTTGATTATATCCTTTGCGAGCAAGAATCGCGTGAACGAGGAGCGGCAGATTAAGATCTGGGGCAACATGAACGACGACCAGCGCATGTGGATCGTGGTACGAGCTTCCTCTCCCTCCTCTTCCTTCTTCTCCTTGCTCTCGGCCCCTGTGCCCCCATCCCTGGATAACTCCTGCAGGCATGTCACGTCTGTAAACACTTATCCCGTTTTTCCTCCCCAATGCCTCCCTTCAGGGCTCCTTCATCTACTTCGCCTGCGCGGAGGGCTTCATCGAGCTCAAGGGCTACGACCTAAGCGAGGGAGACAGCAAGGGCATGATGGCCGGTCTCTCCGGGAAGACCCCCTTGCACATCATCCAGGCCGTCAAGAACGAGGTCCCGAAGGAGGGCGGGGGGGAGGAGAATGTGGCGGCGAGGATGAAGGCGGCCCTGTGGACGGTTTCCTCCATGGGCGCCGAGGACAAGGCCCTGGCCCTGGCGCGCATGTTCCAGGTCTGGCGGCAGGCGGGGTCGGAGGCTGAGAAGGAGGGCGTTGTGCAAGCTGTTTTTTCCCTGCCCCGCATCTACGCGGTGCTCCAGGAGATGGGCAACGCTATCCCCCTCCAGCTCAAGGCCCTCCTGGCCACGAGGGTGGCAGTGCACTACCACGGGACGGAGGAGGAGCTGGAGCAGCTCCGACAGGGCCTGGGGCTCTCGGAACCCTCGCCCGACTTCTGGGCGCCTCTGGGAAAGATGACGGGGATGATGAACGCGGAAGACAAGGTCTTGCTTCTGGCCGAGTGCGTGCCTCTTCACGCGGGCAAGGAGGCGGAGAAGCGGGCCTTGGGGGAGCTAGTGCCCACCTTGGAGAAGGTGATAGCGGTTGTGAAAGAAAAATGTCCGGATTTGAATAAATCGGACGCCCAACTGCTAGGGGTTGACCTCTGTCTCACGGACTTCTTGTACGTGGCGGAGGAGGAGCGGCGAAGAAGCTTTTTAAGCTGGGTGGGGTCGTTGAATGAGGCGGACTTGAGGGAGTACCTGAGAGAGCGGCGGAACTTCAAGGGGGAGGGGGAGGAAATGGAGGAGACAGAGAGAGAAAAGGTAGTTTCCTGAAAGGGTGGGAGGGATGATCGGGGGACAAGAGGGGGGATTTGACGAAGGAAGTGAAGTTTAGGGAGGCGACGGAAAGTAAGAAGCCAAAATTCCAAACAAATGCCAGACTTATCTCTTCTTCACGAATGATTCTCCCATTTCCGACGCTGCGATTCTCGGACCGCACGTCACCCGACTCGTTCGCAGGGACCACTCGTACAAGCGTCCAGATGCCCATCCGGCCCTGGGCCACAAAGTCTCGTCCTCTCTCAGCTTCATCCCTCGCCTGGACCGCCCGCCATCTCAATCTCTATCCTGTTGGGAAATGCGTCGAACAGGGCCAAGGCACTCGCATTCCTCAGTCGCTATTACTTATGCTCCCCGACGCCCGTAAGTACCCCCCGTGCTTACAT